AATGTGTTGAAATTGAGTAAAATGTTATGTAATTAGATAAAACTTTTGTGAAATTGAATGCAATTCAGTGAATTTATGTCCATAAGTTTAAAACTAAGCAAATATACTCCCAAATAAAATTAAATTAAATATAATCAGATGAAATTAAGATAAAATTGGGTTTTTCATGCAATTTAGTAATTTTTTAGTAATTTCATAAATGACCCTTTGTAATGATAACTTACTTTAGAGTGGAGAGAGTAAATAGTATAACTAGATAAAATGGTAAAATAAAAGTAAAAAATTGAAATCACATGAATGTAATCGTGCACTAATGCACATAAGTATAATACATTTATTGTTAAGTAAAATATGTTTCGAATATCATTGGTTTCATATATAATAGTTTCAGGTATTATTGTTTTCAGATCTTAGCTTATCGCTTTCAAGTCTTATCGGTTTCAAATATTATCGACTTTGGATAGTATCGATTTCGGGTTTAATTGATGAGATCTGAACAGTTTTTGATTAAAATGGGGTATAGATATTTTTAGTTCGGATTTGGTTCGGATCATTTCAGTTTTTTGGTTATAGATCGAATCTTCTTTTTTTGGATCATTTCAATTTCGATTTCAGAGAATTTGGTTCGGGTTCTATTTTACCAAGTCTAATAAGCTGCTAAGAAAAAATTATTTGGCAAATTTAGTTGTTTATAAACAACTACCACCGTCTCGGAGTATTTGTCCAATTTGGCTTTTTTCAGTTAACTGTTTTCAATCTTTGACCTATAATTAAATAAAATATATATTGTATATCAATTAGATAAAATAATATTTTAAAATATTCTATATAATAAATATAATAAAGTTATTTATATATCAATATCTAATATCATTTTTATTTAACTTTGGAGTCAAAGTTTATCAATTTTGATTGAAAAAAATCCAAAGTAAACAAATACTCCAGGACAGAGCGATGGATTATTTGTAATGAAAATTATTTTAAGGCATGCATCCATAATAAAAATCTGTTTTTGGTTTAAAAAAGTTTTTTTTGAAATGATAAACGCGCACACACACACTATCAAAGTAAATGAGTATTACTGTATTAGAGATTTTTTGTTCGTTCCAAAAACTCTTTATATATACAACTTTATACGTATTACATGGTTATTTTGTAACATTTTCGGTGTGTTTGCAATGGTATAATCATATCACCTCTTAATTTATAATATATAAAAATAGTTGTCTTTTACACGTAATAAAGTCTATATACACAACATTCATTTTTGGAAAAAAAAACTTGAGAGCTTGATTTCATAAAAATTAAGAAAGTTGTTGATAGGATAATGAAATTAAAAGTAAATTTTTTATTGAAATTAATTGAAAGAGATAAAATCAATGAATTCAACATATTTAATTATTCCCCAAAAAGGGGTAGAGAAGTGTAAAAATAAATTTTGAAGACTTTTCGAAGTATAATATAGATGGCAATTTTAACTAAAATTGTTAAATCACAAAGGAAGGGCAAAAAAATTAAGGAGAAAAACTAAATAGCCAATTTAAAATGCTAGATCACTCGCCTTTTCCATTCTCTTCTTTTGATATGAATGATTCTTATCTGATTGGAATGAGTTCTGATGAGATCTAATCTGAACTGATCTAAATATATTTATATTAAAAGTTGTTGTTGATCTACTTTAATCTGAACTGATTTTAATAAAAAAATGTAATAAGTCTTAAAAATAAGTTCGAGAGAACATGCTCTAAGGGAGTTCCAAGGGGGCACTGATCGCCCGTTGGCAGGGGATTGGGGACAACACCCATGAAAGCAGGGTTCAAGGGGTGGCAGCCTCTGGTGGGGTCCAAGGGACAAAGCCATTGGATGGGGGTCAAGCTGCTAGCTAACCTGGACTTTATTTTTAGAATTAAGCTAGGGGTACCCCAACATAGGGTACCCCAAGTGTACACCAAACCAACACAGACACACACAGACATAAAGTGTCTGTGTTGCACAGACAATTTTGTGTCTGTGTGTGTCTGTGTTGGCTTGGTGTACACTTGAGGTATCTCATGTTGGTGTACCCCTAACATTGCCCTTATTTTTAATTTTGACCAATTTTGTTTTGTTAATAAAAATCTTATCAGAATTTATTTTCTAAAACTTTACATGTGGAATTTCGGGTCTCAAAACGCGTGAATTTTACTATTGAAATTGGATGACTCCCAAATCAAATGGACTATTTTACCCAAGAGATGCATTTTTATCGAATGGTCTCAATTGAACAAAGATGCAACCCTTCACGCAACTCTTTCTTCTATAAAAAAGCATGTTTAATCGAAGGAATCTAGTTCGAACATTCATCACAATTTATATTTGTTCTTGATCAATATTTTGAGTTTAATTCGATGGATTTTGATTTGAACGCTCAAATAATCAATCTGAAAGTGTTATCACGACTCTCAGATCGATAAATCATTATGTTATCTCAATTTCCCAACATTGTTTGTTAAATAGAAAAACATTGAGGAATTTACCTAATTAAATAGTATTACAACATAATGATTTTTCCAATGTAGTACCATATTTTTTATTTTCTAATGTAGTATTACTGCTCATTGTCTACTGATCATTGTTTAAGACATTGTTCAAACTAAATGTCCACCATCGCTGAACATTCTTTCCGGCACTAGACATTATTCAAATACTCTCTCCGTTCCATAAAATACTTCCTCTTTCATTTTTTTCTAATTCCCTAAAACACTTCCACTTTCTATTAAGAGATCACTTTTATCCCTACTTTTTCATACTCTACCTATCACATCATACTTTTTCACTAATAACCAAACTATCGCATCTTACTTTTATCTATCACATTAGGGGCAAAATTGAAAAATCAACCAAAATTACACTTTTCTTATTTTGGCCCAACGTCAAAATAGGAAGTGTTTAAAGGAACGGAGGGAGTACTATTTAGTAAATAAAAAAAATTTAGTACTACATTGAAAAATGCCATATGTTTTAGTACTGAGTATTATTTAGTGCAAATTTTACAAAAACATTTTCCTTTTTTTACCAAGTATACTTTTCATTAAATAGTTGTTTTCTCTTTTTTTCCCTAGTAAACTTTTCATTAAAAAGTTGTTTTCCTTTGCTCCATTTCTTTGTGTTCTTTACGTACATTTTTTCAAAAGGTGGTCTTCGGAAAAATTCCTTATCTTTAAAAGTACGATTAAGATCTGTACACCTTTTTTCGTTTATCATAGTGTGTGGGACTCCATTGGGTAGACTATTAGAAAATTATTTTCCATAGAAGATTTTTTTTAAAAAAAACTCATCATTTCATGTGGGAAAAAAGAATTATATATTGGATATCAATTTTTCAGTTTCTTATTTGAAAAGTTGTGTAGCACTATTTAATTAGTACACATGTGACATATGTAATGTTACTTTTTAAACAATTAATATGCACTTAGAGAATATTTCTTAACCCCCCAAAAAATAGTGTTTAGAAGTTTAACAAACAATATAATTGAAACAAAAGGCATCAAACTAATAGAAAAGACAGGAAATATATATACATCAAACAAAACACACATCTTAATTAATTCCTTTTGACACTCTTAATTGGTTTGTTTTTCTTTTTGACACTTTTATTGTTGTCTAATTAAAGAAAACATGAGGATGTAATGGATGAACATAGACATGACTTTTCGAACGACTTTACAATGTTTGACTAGAAAACATTAGAAATCAATTCAATTAAATGTTTAATTAAACTGATTAATTTGTGAAAGATTGTATACCATGCATGTCGTAACAAGTCTTTTTTTTCTCACGTGCAGGGTATGCAATTATATATTAATTATTTTTTTTCTTAAAAAAAGAAAAAAAAGAAAAATAATTAATTGCAACTTGTAAGGACAAAGAAGTAAATTCACCTGTAGTAAATCTTGTGGCCAAAGAGTGGGCGTGGGTGTGACTGAGAGAAGAAAGCTTTGAAGATTAGAGCGCCTGAAGAAGAATAATGGTGGACTTGAAGAAGGGGGAGAAAGAAGAGACATTTTGATGCATGTATATATTATATTCAAAGACAAAGAAAAGACAAGAGTTTCATCACATTTGATCTTGAGGTTTTTATGTATGTCTTTCTCTCTCATATATATACGTAGTGTGTGTGTGTGTGTGTATATATATATATTATGTATGTATGTATGTATGTATGTATGTATATATATATAGGCCATGAAAATGATGAACCAATTAATTGTAAAGCGGTAATTAATTAAAAATAGTTAAATTATCTCCCTTAGAGCACTGGTAACGGGTGTAACGCCCGCCAGCGTGAGGGTACGTTTAATGCCCCGGCGGCGTTAAACACCGCCCCCCTCCGGGCGTGATCGCCCCTGCATCAAACGAATGATGCTCCGTCATTCGTCTCCCCCTCCCCCCTAACGGCTTTTTTAGCCGTTGCAGCCCAAATTTCAAAAAACAATTCTTATAAATTCAACCCCCAACCCAATCTCTCACATCTTCTTCATCTTCAATCTCTTCTTCTTCCCAAATTTTAAATTTTGAAATTACGCCCTCCCACTTTTCAACATGAATCCTTCTGGCTCCGGCTTCTTTCCCGACGATCTCCCGCCGAGTGACGCCGCGATGTGGTTCTACCAAGAGTGGGGCGATCGAACGCCGATTTACGAGACGCAACAATCGGGGTACGTCGACCGAGATTTGGTTCCGGAGACTCAACCGGAAACGTCCGGATCGAAAAAAAGTACACGTCGGAAAAGCCACAAAGCCAAAAGCACGTTGACCGAGGTGGCACGGTCAATCCAAAAGTGGTCCCCGGAGGAGTGCATATTGGCGTCGGCTTGGGTTGACGTCTCCGAGCATCCTATCATTGGTAAAAAATTTATTTTTTCTAATATATTTATGTTTTTATTTATATATATTATATTTAGTGGTGTCTAAAAAAATTGTGTAATACATTTTTAAAGATACGGAGCAAACGAAGGATGCGATGTGGGATCGTATCGAGGAGAAGTTCTTCACGGCGATGAAGAAGGACGGCTCCTACCGAACCCGGGACCAACTCATCACTTCCAAATGGTGCCACATCAACAAAAGAGTCCAAAAGTTTATGGGAGTTTACGAGGAATGCTCCCGGTCCCGGAGGAGCGGCACTGACGACGCCGATGTTCTCCGGCTTGCCACGACCTGGTATCAAGACGATGGGCACCAAGGCAAGGTGCCCATCGATCTTTGGAGGATTTTGAGTCGTTCCCCGAAGTGGCAATAACTCAACAATCCCGACGGCGGATCGTTCCGGAAAAGATCCACCGTCGATGCCGAGGTTGAGGTCGACGAGACTATCAGTTCTACCGATCAAATCCCTCCCTTCAACAATGCGGATTCCGATGAAGAGGACCCTATTCCACGGCCGATTGGAATAAAGAAGGCAAAATCCATTGGCTCTGGTTCGGGAGGGTCCGCCTTTGTTTCCGCTTCTCCCCGCGACGAAATCGGCCGGGCAATGATTGAAGAGCTTCGGGCGTTCAATCTCCAAGAACAAGAGAGGTTGAAGCTAAAGGAGCAGGAGGCCGAGATGAAAGTCATGCAAACTGACCCCGCGACGTTGTCGGAGTTTGGATGAATGATCTACGAGCAAAGAATGAGAGAGATCAAGGAGAAATATAATTTACCTTAGTTTTTTTATTAATGTATATTTTTTTAAATTATTGTCGCTATTTTTTATTTAATTAATGTATTTTTTTATTATTCGTGTTTCAATTTAATTAAATAATAAATTAATTACATTTTATTAATTTAATTTTAGAAGATATATATTTAAAAATGTAAAAAATGAAGGTTTGAAGCCTGAGTTTGAAGCCCCGGGGCTTCAAAACCATTTCCAGTGAATTTTGGGTGTAAGTTAAAGCTGACGTGGCAGAGAGAGAAAGTTTGAAGCCCTGGGGCTTCATGACCATTACCAGTGCTCTTAGTGCATTGATTAAGGCCTACAACGTTTTTAATTGATGTTAGAATTTTAAATTATTTTTTAAATGTACACATTAACTTTAGAAATACTAAAATTAAATGTTGCTATTAGATGCAGAGTATTTTTTTTCAAAACGTTAAAGTTAAATAGAACCTAAGGGAACATATACATTTGTTAATGCATTAATGAATAATTAAGAAAATGTTATTCTGGAGGTGAATCGTGTATCGGAAATGCTGGAGTTATAAACAAATTGTTCACAAACTTGTCTTTTGTGAATTTTAAATTAAAATATCTTTTATTATTTGAGTGCATTTTATTTTTAGAAAAATGTTAAAAAGACAAGTTTCTAAATTTTGTGAACTATTTGTTTGTGACTCTAGCATTACTCATAGTGTATTTTTTAAGTGTCAATAAAAAATGGTGTAAATATCATTTCTCTTATATTTATCAATAAGAAAACCATCATATTTTGTGATCTTAATTCTTAACCAATGCCATGATCAACATTTTCCTTAAATAAATATTGCGGGATAAAATAATATTGTATACTCTCGTCCCATAATATGTCCTAAATCTTATTTTTCAGATATATGCCAAAATTTATTATGAATTTATTATTTCTTTGTGAAATGAATTAATTGATCTATACTTTATTTTTTCTCTCTTCTACACTAATCTTAGTCACTATTTCAAATAATAATAATAATATTAGTCACAAATTTTTTATATTATAAGAGAGAGCAAGCCAAAAAGGAAATTAGTGATAGAGAAAGTATTTAGCTACTTTGCAGTCAAATTTTACGGTTTACAAATAATTAGTGAAATATTTGATTGAGTTTCATTTCGAAAGCGAGCCAAACGGTCACTTTTAACTTGAGATAGAGTATCTACTTTGGTTTTTCATATCGTAATTTGACTAACTATATATTGAAAAATACACTACAAATTAAAATATAAAAACACACTATATTATTTGTATCGAAAAATATTTACAATATATTATTTTAATAGTTGTTTGTTATCATATTTTAAAAGATGAAGAATTTTTACCTAAATAACACTAAAATATAATGATTTTCCCTAAATAGTATCATATGTATTTTTTTTCTCAATATAACACTTTTAGTCATTATCCATTAGTCATTATTCAAGAAAATGTTCTCCATCACTAGTCATTATTTCTCCTTCTGGATATTATTAATTAAGTGATGTTTATGGAATAAAACAATTTAAGTACTACTTAAGAAAATAACTTAAGTTTTAATGCTGTTTAGTGCAAATATTTCTTAAAAGATTTTGTTGATTACATATTCGGTATGACAAAGGAAACGAACAACTAAAAAAGGAAGACAATAATAAATATAAGGCCTTTTCGGCAACGGCGTTAGAGATTAGATTGTGCATAGTGCTTCATAGAGAGAGCCTCGTGATCTGCCTTTGCCACGTCGGTGGGCTTTACGGAGGAACACCGCCCCTTGGTGCCATACACTATTCACATGAGAGATCTCGTAGTCACAACCACAGTACAGTACTTTAGTCGGTTTTATTCTTTTTTTTACTTCTTTTCATATAAATTAATGATTTTACTATAACATATATTTTGTCCATAACTATTCATATATAGATCATTATATGACAAATGATACGTTGTTGCAAACTTTTTCACAAGATCTATCCATCGGCACCAATATTGCATATATATTTTAGACGTTGTGTTTTGCATTGCTATATAGAAAAAGTAAAGGAAAGAAATTTGTACAAAATTTTTTTTGCGCAAACTACAAGCGAGACAATATGTACATTGGAGAAGTCACCGATGATGAGCAAATCGCAAGACTCGCCAAAATCAAAGTAAAGAAACACACAACAACCTAAAAGCTGAAATTAGTGTTACTTGTGTTGTTTTATATAGTGTTACTTGTATAATTTTTTCTTTGATGTACGTTTTTAATTAATGTAGTTATATATGTCTTTATTTTTTTGTTATACTATAAAATTAAAGAAGGGGAAAATGTAAGCTGAAAGAAAACAAATTAACTGGAAATAAACCCGAAAAAATAATAAACCCAAAAGCAAAAAAACCAAACAAAAAAATTAATAAAACCAAAAACAAATATTTTTTGTCTTTTTACAAAGATTGAATTTCTAATTTGAGTAGAAATAGGTTATTAAATAAAAAAATAAGTGTAATCATTACAATGGAAGTGAGGCACTACGGGTGTAAAGTGAAAGAGATGGTAATGGCCGGGTAGCTGCTAATTTGGAGTGAGTGATGGTAGGGTGTTATTGATAATTTAAGAGCGAGCTAGCACTTTGAAAATGACTAATGGTAGCGATTAATTTTATATTTTCAAAGTTAAAATTTTATTCAAAATGTTAATACTAATAAAAAATGTTATTCCTTGACAATATCATAACATTGATTAATTATGTGATTCACATCATCCAAATGGTTGTAAAGATAATTTCAACCCACAAAGGTGTAAGGCGAAGGAGTAAAAGCATTGAATCCTCACCCTAATTAATAAGCGAGGGTCAATTCAAAGGAGACGCGCCGGCCACTTCCACAATTTTTTTACTATTTGCATCATCACCTTGCATTGGTAAAGCTATAAATGCTTGCTAAATTGGATATTACATTAATCAAGGTCAATGCATTCACATTAATTAATTAATACTCCTATTAATTAGATGGTTGACAACCAAAATGAATATCTACATTTTCTTTCATAATTTATTTGTTTCTCGATTATGACTGGACATAGAAATTAGAGGGAAAAAATGATCTGATACTATTTTTGTAGAATATAATGAAAGGATATATACATCTATTAGTTTATTTCTCTAAAGGAACCTTAGAAAAGTTTTTTTTGAGACACACAAAAAAGAAAATTGGTTAAATTTTGGAGGACGATAGAATACTTTATGTACTCTCATATATTTCATTTGTCATAAGAATATTTATTCAATTTTAACTTTTTTACAGTCAACTAAGATCCATATTTGATCTATAATTAAATAAAAATTACATATATGGTATATTAAAAAATATTTTGAAAATATTTTACAAGATAAATATATTAAAATTATTCTTATATATATCTAACATAAATTTTATTTTAATAAAAGTTAAGTTTATCCAGTTTAATGGTAAAAAAGGCAAAACTAGAGAAATATTATGAGAGTTAGGTATTAACAAAATATGCAAGTGACGCAACTGTTAGCGACAATCAATGAGGACAGTCATATGCGAGATTGAAAATGCCATTACTAGTAATAGCTAAATACTCGAGATAAATATTCCCTTAATGTGTGTAACTATTTTTGCTAATACACTTAAAGAGTGTTTGAGAGTGCGATGAGTAATGGGAATGTAGAAGTTATAAGTTAGAAGCAGAAAGTAGTTATTTTTAGTTTTGCTCGAAAGCACTTCTAGACTTTAAATTCTACTCCTAAAGCCATATTTCATAAGCTAAAGGTGATTGCCAAACATTTAAAACTATGTTTTAGTAAAGTAGAACTTATAAGTTATTTTTAAATGCACTCCCAAACACCCTCTTAGTCCTTAGAATAATCATTCTCTTTATTTATTTAATAATTATAATTATCTTATAGACTTCTAATATCTTTAGTATTATTTCTCTAGATTATTTAATGTTGTCTTGTTGATTTTGCGTTAAATATTATTTCTCTGTATGGTATCAAGGTAGTTTTGTCTTAATCGAGATCTTCAATCCTTCTCACACTCCTCAGGTTGATTAAGGCCTCATTTGTCACCAACTTTCCTTCTAAGCCCATTCACCTTACCATATCGAAGCATTATACTCACCAATACAAACTTTCAGAGATGTTCAGTCTAATATACCTTAGTTGGTCTCGACCCTTTCAGGAATGTTAGTATTGTCACTACCTCTCTATAGTTTCTTTTCTTGACATTGCTTACGAATTTTTAAGTATACATTTTCGTACCACCATCGCCTATCCACCTAGCGCCGCTCATGACAGTAGGTCTTGTCTCCCAACTAGCCTTGCGAGTAAGTCTTGCATCCTTGTCAACTCTCTCAAAGAAAAACTAGTAAAAAGTCCTCGTGGTACCGCTTCATTGATGCCTTCATCGCCAACATGACCATGATTACCGTCGAACTTGTTATCACTTGGAGTCATGTGGATGATGATGATCTTGTTGTTTCCATCATGACCCAACTTGGCAAAGACTATCACACCATTTACCAAACTTTTTGGGGCATGAAATTGATGTGGAACTCTCCGACATTCTCATTGATTGCAAACAACAATTTGATGTTTTTTGAATACTCTTCTTCCCTCTAACTTTGCTTAGTGCATGCCAGGGTCCTATCATTGGTGAGTGGACACAAAAATTTAGATTTTGAAAACTTGTCTATATTTGTTTAAAATAGAAAGAAACAATATAATATATAATGGTTAGTCTCTATTAGAGGATATATTCCCTCCCTCCCAAAATAAACTTCTTGCTTTTGTTTTTTTGTGTAGTCTAAGGAAATGTAAAACTTATGGTTGATATTTATACATAAGAGCGATAAATAACGTAACCACTCAATACTTACTTTACAAGGAATGAGATGTTTATTTTGGGGCAACCAAAATAGGAAAGTTATTTCGAATTTATCCTCTCATAACATATCACCCCTACTGTCGAGAGCAATCCTATACGAGGTCTAGAAGGGAATTATTAACAATACATTACTCAAAAAATGTCCCCCCAATTAATGTGTGTAATCAATGTTGGTTATATACTTAATCCTTGGGAGAGTTGTTCTCTTTAGGCAAGTATTAGTGTAATTAGCATGTACACTTCTAATCTCTCTTAAGCGGTGGACCATTCTGCAACCCGATGACGCTCTTGATCATTACTAGGAACGGTCGACCGCTGATAGTAATGGTCAACCATCTTGTTCCTAGTTGCACTGTTGAGGTAATGGTCCACCGTCTGACGGTAACGGTCGACCATAGCGAGCTACTCTAGTATCGGAAAACCTACCTGATTTTTGGGCTGTAAAATCCTATTTTTGATACCTTTCAACTATAAATTAGTATGAATATCATGTCCAAACTAAATATGATTTTTTGATAAATTCAAAACCTTATTTGATCCATGACTGTAAGCTACTGTGTTAACACTTAATGCTTGGCCGCTGTTTGTTATTAAGTATTATGATGATTGTTATTGATTATTGATTATTGATTATGGTGAATGAATCTTTATTAAAAATAAATATTCTAATTAAAATGATGACTATGAATCATTAAGGCTATCTAGAAGAACTCTAAGATTGACCCAATGTGATTTATTAGTTTGGGCCTTGTGGGTATGATGTCTGGTGGTTTGGGTAAAAACGTACGTACGAGATCTACAAACCAAACTAGAGGATAACTCGTTTGTGGATACCACCACCCAACAGTGAGTAGTTTGTTGTTCGGTTATTTTAGTGTGACCTATAAGATTTGTAGAATAGGTCATGATTTTGTATTCTGCCTTAGACTAAGAATAGTTTAAGAGCATTGTTATGCTTTTACCTAGGACTAGGAATAGTTTAAGAGCAATGTTGACATTATAAATATTGAATATTGATCTGAATATTTTGTGCATGTTATAAAATGATTGGATATGAATTATGATTCAATTTATGTTGATAGATGTTCGATGCATTATATATCTTTACTTAGCTTCTTCGATGAGCGTATAGTACTTCCTCCGTCCCGCTATATTCGTCCACTTTTGACTTTTGGAACTGTTCATCTAAGCACTTTGACTCATCAAATTCTCTCAATGTGTAAGCCTAAATATAGTCATGTGTGATCTTGTTTGATTTGTCTTAACATATAGATTATTAATATATAATTTCTATAATTTTTTAATATACAAATTACAAGATAAAATGGATTAAAGAAGTGCATTGGATGGTGTGCAAAAATGAAAGTGGACAAATATAGTGCGACGAGGAAGTATGTTTTATTTGCTACATGCAGGTAAACAAAATCAAGAATGATATAATTTAATCCTGGTGGCATATAGGGACACGAGATGTCAGATGGATGTGTGATGATTTTGATCTGTTCAAAAAAAATTCAAAAATGAATTATTGATTGTGATGTAAAACTATTTGTTAATCTTTCGCAATTTGATGAACTCCGTTACTATCTCTAAATATTTTTATGATGATGAAATAAAGTTTCAAGTGTTAAATTATTTTAAATTTTTACGTTACCAATTTAATACTTAAGTTTGAAAGGGGCTGCAAACCTGGATGGATTAGGGTGTTATAAAGTTTGTACTTTTTAAAATCAATTTAGCATGCACAAACATTGCCAATAAATAATATAAGATTGAAGCTAATTATTACACGTATGATAGTAACTTATAAAACTGATAATAAAACATAAACTTAGATAAATATAAAACACTTAACATAAAAAGAGTTTGATAAAAAGCAAATATTTTTTGGTCTTTTTAGAAAATGGGAAAAACAACATCTAAAGATATGATAAATATACTTCAACTTAGGCAACCCATGAACACCATCAAGAACCCATAACCAAATTAGACAACCACACAAGTCAAAATATTAAGTGTATAATAGGCACACAGATGATATAATACTTAATTTACATACATAAGAATAGAAAATTATTCAAAGGCTTGAGTTGACTCATTTCATTGACCACATATAGAGGGTCATCAACTCTCTAAAAGGCTCGGAGTTGTGCAATTCAAGAATTTCATCATGAGATACATTAAGAACCAGAATTCTCTTCAAGCGCTCAAACAATGATTCCAAAAGAAGAAAAAAGTCTATAAAAGAGCACATTATTTTCATTCTAACTCTCATGCATAATCTATTCAAAAACCGTAAACACTATGGACTTGGTGTAGAAGAACGATGTCTAGTTTACTCCATTTATTATCACGATTCCATATTTTAAAAAGCCCATTAGTCGAGGCATCCTCAAGACCATTAGTCACGTTAAAGTACAGAAGATCATTAAGATTGTTGACACCAGATGTAAGGTAATTCATCCTATAATTAGAGCTTGGGAGATAGTTAAAGTTACCCACAATATCTCATGGCTTACCCATCTTGTTGAAATTTTGGTGGGCTAAGTGAATCATGTGGAGTGTTAGCTGAGATTTGACCACTGCACTTTTTTTTATAAAGTTTGGATCCACTTTCTAACCAAAACTTTAAGCTTATGAGTAGTAATTTACCTTTATTTATATGGGAGTGTTATGTTTTTTTATTTTTCCGGTGTGGGATGTGCCCACGAATTCCCAACCCATTGTTAGTTTCATGAGCTGTCATCCCTCATTGTTGTTAAGTTGAGTTTTTGTCACTTTAGCTGGATTTATTTTTGACCAACGAATAGGTCTTAGATGTTGTAGTTGTTTAGTCGTTTTGTGTTAGAATAAAGATGCAGCATCCTGTTTCTAAAGCATTCACTGCATCACTTAGTCCATCTTATGCTCTGAAGGAATCCTTGTATAAATAGAGATGCGTTGGGCCTGTTTGTGTGTGTAAGAGCAAAGCTGCGTTGGAGTGTTCTCCAAGAATTATATTAGGGATATCAAAAGGAGTGCAACATTGTACTCACTGCGATCGAGATAGAGTGCAACATTGTACTCACTGCAATCGAGACGGACATAGTCGAGAAGGATGTTTCAAACATATTGGTTACCCGAAGTGGTGGCAAGTGTTAGTCGTTTTAGTCGTTGTGCCCACGCCTTAGAGGGGGGGGGGGTGAATAAGGCGTTTGAAAACTTTTCAGAGTTTAATAAAAACGGTGTTGGCAAATGCGGAAGCAATATATAAAACACAAAAATAAAAATGTAAATAAAATGCACACCGAATTTATACTGGTTCGGGAACTCCCTACTCCAATACCTCGAGGCTCCTCCTCAAGGATTTCCGAATCCACTAAGTCTCGGTCTCTTGAACTCCGTCAAAGCACCGTACTAGTTTGACAAACAACCCTTGCCAATAGGATTCACTCCGAGATTTCACCACGGTTATCTCGAACCGTTTACAATGAAGATTTAACGGCTATCTTCTACCGTTCCCCCAAGGATTTCAAAGGCTATTCTTGAGCCTTTACCCAAGGATTTATACGACTATCCTCGACCGATACAATATGAGAATTTAACGGCTATTCTCGACCGTATAAAGATGTGTTTGAAGAACACAAACAAAAGTTCTACACAACGGCTTGAATATAAAAATGAAGAACAAGACTTAGCCGGTGTAAAACTGAATTATACTCTCACAAAAATACAATACAAACTTATGAATATGAGAGTATATAACTAGAAACACAAGCTCAACGTGTGTGTGTATAGAAATCGGGAATTTAGGGCTCTTAAAATAGCCAAAATATTTAAAATAATTAATAAAAGAATGAACACACTTAGAATATAAAGAGAGGATGTTTAGAGCTTTGTTTCTTGAAGAAATATGAAGGATTAGGCTTATATTTATAGTGGAAGATGTTAATTAGCCGTTGGGAGGTGATTAGGGTTGATTTAATTCAAAATCTCAAATCAGGAATAGTAACCCAACGGTCACGGTAGGCCGGTACCGTCCACACGGTAGCATGGTACCGTGCGTACGGTAGGGGGGTACCGTGAGTGGCGGTACCTCGATACCGTGTAACACCAAAAATCCATTCGGCTCTGGCGGTACCTGATTAGGACGGGTTGGGCCAACCATCTACGCCTACCGTCCGGTACCTAGGTACCGTTACACGGTATGGGGGTACCGTGTAGGCGGTATACCCTACCGTTTGGGGTACCGCTAAGGGTACCGTGCCACTGTTCTGATTTTTCCAAAATTTCCTTAATCCTTCGTGTTTGAGTTTAAAACCTTTTAGATGTTTGAAAATGTTTATGGGATGGTTTTAAACATATTTTGTGAGTGCCTTTGAGCTTGTGAATATAGGTATATAAAGTCATATCCTTACATCGGTTTCTACCTATATTCTACGCTAGTTTAGTGTTTCGACTTCGTTCTTGAGTACCGAATCTTAATGGATTCTTGTTTTACCTAAAACACTTAAACAAACGTTAAGCTCTTATATTGTTTGTTAACATCAAAACATGAGGCTTAGCAAACCAAGGCTAATAGCAAGGTAAAGTGAAGGGAGACAAGGCAAAACCAAAGGCTTATTATGTTGAGGGAAGTTCGAGTCCCATTCCTGGACTCACCGTGGAACAATACAATGCATTCTTGAAACGCTTTGCATGTGGAACTGACACAGGTGTTGAAGGGAACATGCAGGTGGCAAATATGACAAATAGATTTGATGATGAGGGTGATTGGGTTATTGACTTGGGAGCTACCGAACACACAACCTACCTTAGTAATATTCTTGTTAACAAGAGAAAAGACCAACATGAGATGCCTATTATCATTCTAAATGGTGATACCATCTCGGTTGAGGGAAAGGGTGATTACACCCTGTCTGGAGGAACTAAGATCAATGGCATATTGCATGTGCCTAAGTTTACTTGCAATCTTTTATCAGTTAGCCGTCTAACCAAAAATCTCCAATGTTCAGTGACATTCTTTCCTAATGTTTGTGTTGTGCAGAGTCTCCGATCGAGGAACTTGATTGGTGTGGGTAAGTGAAAAGGAGGTCTATACCGAATGGGGATGTTTGAAAAAAGGAAAGCCATGGCAGTTACTATTGAGAGGTGGCATAAGAGGTTGGGTCACACATCTAAAGAAAAACTAGCTAAAGTTGATTGTTTGAAGGGTGTTTCTTTTAATCTTAGGAATAATGTTTGTGATTCGTGTTCAAAGGCTAAACATACCAGATCTCCTTTTTCGTTAAGTGGAATCAAAACCAAAGAATGTTTTGAGTATTACATTGTGATGTGTGGGGCAAGTATCATGCTCCTTCATTTTCTGGGGCAAATTATTTTTTATCCATCGTGGACGATTTGAGTAGAAATGTTTGGATTTTTCTCATCAAGTATAAAAGTGATGCAAGCACTTGTTTGATAAACTTTTGCAAAATCGTTGAAACCCAATTTGGTAAAATCGTCAAAAGAATAATTAAGGTGTGGCAATGGTGGGGAATTCACATCCGGTCTTATGTTGAACTTTTATGCCAAACAAGGAATTTTATGGGAAACCACGTTTCCTCACACCACTCAAAAAAATGGGGTTGTTGAGCGTAAGCTTAGACATTTGCTTAACACGGCGAGGGCCTTGCGTTTTGAGGCGAATTGGCCAAAAAGGTCTCAGGGAGAATGTGTTCTAACGGCCGCTTACATTATCAACTGGTTGCCGTCCAAAACTCTCGATCGTAAAACACCATATGAATTACTATACAATCAAAAACCCGAATATGACCACATGAGGGTTTTTGGTTGTCTTACTTATTTTTGGAGCATCCAGACTAAAAGGTGGCAAGTTCGAAGTAAGGGGGAGACCTGGTATTTTTCTACGTTATCCTCAAGGGACTAAGGGCTACAAAATATATGATATTGAAGATAAGAAAATGGTGGTGTCTCGCGACATAATAAAGTTCCACGAAGACACACCTTCACATTTTCAGTCCGAACCCAGCTTGCAAATGATCATGACATTTTGATCCCTTAGAAGCCTAACACATTGAATGCTCAGATTGTGGGCAAACATTCATTCCCAATGAAGCTGCAAGTTATGGGGTTGAGAAAACCATGAGATCGATGAAGGATGCCCAGGTTTCAATGATGAGTTAGTACCTCCTCCTAACATGGAAACACACACTGAGCGACCAAAGAGAGATCGGGCCCTACCCAAGCATTTGAAGGATTTTGTTGTTGACCTTCCCCCCTTTGGTTATTATTATTATTTTCTATTTCTATCCCATTGTTTATGTTCACTTTAACTTTTTGGAATCCAACTGGACGAAGGTAGAACATGAATTACTCTCAACTTGTATTGCATATTAGTATAATGAAATAGAATTTTAAAAGTTCTTAACAAAATAAATATAATTAAATTATTTTAAACAAATATACATCACATTTTTCTTGAAACTCAAAATTTATCCAATTTGACTCAAAAAAGACAAACTGAACAAATATATTGTGACATAGGTAGTATTACTTAATTATATGCATATATCATTATAATAGTAATTATTAGTTAGATATTATTCAATATCAAATAATGTAACACAAACTAATCGTTTACTAACTATTATGTAATAATCGAAAAAGATATTAGCATTAGTTTTCAACATTTTTTTTAAATGTATCTAATTTAATCTAAAAAGATCTTATCTGACTAACTAGATTTGATTAGATTTGATCTAATCTAATTAGACTTTACCATCTCCTTATACTCGGTATGGAAAAGACAGCCATTTTGGGACGGAGTAATGTTCATGCCTTTATTTCATTAAAAAACATTTATAGAATAGAAAACTGAAGCAAAAGCTAGCAGAATATAAAACACAAAACAAAAGAACATCCTTTGTACTTAAGTAGTTGGTGTAGATTATACAGTACTGAGCTCATAGCCTTCGAAACAATACCATGGAATAAAAAACAGTTCTAAAACCCCAAAAATGTTACTCCTCCCATTTATTCATTCATTGTGTTTCTACATCGTTACACGAAGGGAATATTTCTATAGCAATTAACCTATGCTAGCTAATCTTTGAAAGAAAAAATAAATTTACAACAAAGTGGTTTTACATAATGCTGCTACGACTGTATGGTTATTTGAGAAGGCGTTCTGCTCTGTGGCTGCTGAGGACTATAGCCCTTGAGGAAAATTGTTAGGGCGAAACACTGGCCTACGTTGGCTGCCTAAGCATCTGTTGAAGCTGAAGGACCTGCTCCTGCTGATCCCGGGGCAATGAGCTCAACTGTTCAGGCGTGAGACTCATCACTTGCTGCAATAGGGTCGACTCCACATCCGGGGTTAGCTGCAAGTGTGGAAGAGAGGAGAATAGTACGACTTAAGTTTAAGAGTAATTGTGAAAATGGATGAGGGAGAACTTTAAATGGCACGTGATTGTTTCAAAATTTGATTTACTGACATGAATGCGGCATTTCCATCATCTCCGATGGAGCCAAAAGTTCATTATTTTTTGGCTTTGGGGTGTGATGAAATAAAGCAAAATAGATCTCTTAAGTGTTTGCGCTATTTAATTAATGTAGCAGTTAGTCAATCAATGCAACTTTCGACACTAAGCCGGGGGTCTCTTTGGAAACAGCCTCTCTACTTTCGAGTAGGGGTAAGGTCTGCGTACACACACCCTCCCGACCCTACTCTTGTGGGATTCAACTGGGTTGTCATTGTTGTTGACATGAATGCGGCAGAGATGCATATGTTAGGATGGATGTGTGGTGTGACTATAAACAATTGAGGGAATATGGGTTTAGGCATGTCAGTTGTTGAGAAGTCAGTGCCTGTTGTGGAGAGTGGAGTCTTGTAGTGCTGGAGACTAAAAAAGAAGGCTGATTAACCGAAAATTGCTTGAACTGAAGGTGTAAAAAAAGAATGTCAGACCTTAATCACAGCACACATTCAAATTTATCATTAGCAGGGAGATTCAACATAAAAAAGACAGGAAAAGAAATGAGGCCTTAACCGCCTTATCACAGAGATAATGTTCATATGACAACACAGATGGATGCAAAACAGAAATGTATACAACGGTGAAAGCTTACCTGAAGAGCATGTTTCTCAGAACTTGAAGCCTCTTCCGTTCTGGAAACATGTTTTCCAGATATGCTAGCTAGCCTTGAAGGTCTTGTTACCAAATTATCCACATTCAATTCTCCTGATTGATAGGAACTCCTTCCATCATTTCGTTTTGATAACTTTGATGGGTGATTCATAGCATCTATACTATCATTTAGCATTCCAGCTCTCTCAGGCAACCCTGAAGGTTCAAATGGTCTTTTGAGCAAAGCTGAATTGCTACCAGATTGGGTTTCAAGAGGACACTTATTAATGTTGTCCGAAGGAGCAGACAATACCGAGGAGCCTGGCTGTTAATGGAAAGAGTAAAATAAAAATCCTTCCACATGCTTTAAAAAGCCAGAAAAGAATTGGCAACCACTTGAACACTATTTTTCAGTAGGAAAGGCACATATTATTGTAAAACATAATAACTTTTGGGATTTAAACATTTTCGGAGGCAAAAAAAAGGAATTAACAAAAAGAAAGTCAAGCTAAGTGAGCATCATCTATTCCTCAAGTTAGTCCTAACATGGTGAATATTTTTTGTATTCACCATTTCACCCCCATTTCTTGTCAATTTGAAGGATGCTACCTTTAAGTTCATGCTGATGAAACATAGAAGTGCTAAACCTGTATTGATAAACAAGTCAACACAAGCCTTAGCCTTGAGCATTTTCAAAAAGTGCATTTTTACCCAATTTCCTACCCGCTGTATACAGTGACAGGTAGCACCAAAAGTTGTTACCTGAAAACATTTTTCAGTTGATGGTGGACATGCTAATAAAGAAGGTTGAAATGAACCGTTATGGGCGGCAGGTTGACTGTTATAGGCTAAATTAGCAGGTCGAACAAGTCCCATTTGAGGCAACAAAGGATGACGCATTTGCTGCATCAATGAAGAGGAAGTGCCATGAATCTGTGGAATAGCAGCCAAATCACCCTGTGCTCGAATAGTTGGAATGGAGTGACCTCCAGAATTTATTGATAATCTCCCATTTTGAAAGTTGTTTTCAGCCAATAGTGGAAGCTTAATCTGATGTTGTGTTTGGGGCAATGAACTGTGAAGAGGGGGAGCAACCCCAGGAGGCATTCGAATTGCTAGCTGTTGATTGTGATGATTGTCAGGCAATAGAGACTGTGGTGGAGGAAAAGATGACTGCCGAATATTAGGCATTTGTAACTGCAAATTTAAATATTTGAAGGATCATTAAATAAAGTATTTTAACAAACTTTCCCTCTGCCCCATAGAAATTGTCCATTTTGAAGATTGTGCAACTTTTTAAATTTTCGTAAGGTACAACACTTAGAAATAACTAAATATACCTATACTTTAAAAAAGAGAAAATGAAACTCTTTTAATGAGACAAAAACATGTTGAGAAATAGGATTCTTTTAAATGGGACGGAGAGAGTAATAGTTTTAAAACAAGAAAATCTCAGCTAATAAATTTTAATAAAAAAAGTGTTAACAAAACAAACCATTTGAGGAGTAACCAGTCCCAGCATTAGTTGTATCTGCAAGTAAGAGACGACAGGTCAAGGATGATAGAACACATGAACCAGCTAATATGCTACCACACTATATGTACACAATAACACAAGTAAAAATGATTGTGTGAGCTAGTCATACTGCCTATAGACAGGCAGAACATCTTGATTAAATTCTTTGACTCATGCTTGCATGTACTGGACGAATTGCGCTATGATATTGGTTATGTAAAGAACTGTTGAAGCATAGCTTGTTTGGACCATGGTTGTCAAGTCGACAAGTCGAGTCGAGTCGGTGACGGGGAGACTAGTGGACTAGGCGACTAGTCGTAGACTAGTCGACAAATCATAATTAGTATTGAAATTTTTAACATTACATATATCTACATTAACCCAACAAGAATATATATATATTTATATGTCAAAATACCATAACCAAAGCAAATTTATGTTTAAAGATAGCACATAAAGTCAACAAAGAGTACATAACAAGCAAATATCCTTCAATCTTGAAAAATAACACACCAAGAAAGATAATTAACAAGAGCCTAGAACGCTTAAAATATTAAAATAAGAAATACAAAACCAAAATATCAATTAAATTCAGAAAAAAATTGAAAAATTAAACTGAAAATAAAATTGAAATACTTTATTGAAAAATTAAACTGAAAAAACTGAAATATTAAAAAAATAAAAAAAACTGAAAACTTTAAAGTATATCATACTTTATTGTTTAATGAATCAAATCAATGAAAATTAAATTTTAATTTTTCAGTTTAAGATTTCAATTTTTTAAAAGAAAAAATTAATGATAACATCCGACTATTTCAAGTGTATCATCCGACTATTTCAGTTTAAGAAAAAAATTAAAAGAAATACTTTAATGATAACAAACTATAAGAAAACTTAGAGTCGCTGGAAGATA